AGCTAAAAGCGAGTATCACTAGATTATCTTTAATATGGCAAAAACAACGGTGAAGAGTAGAGGGATGCTGTAGAAACAGTACTGGCACTGGGACTTCAGGAAACACTAGAGTCGATTTGTGCTTTTTCCTTTTCCACTGAGAGAGCAGGACTCTAACATAAGCTGAGTCCGGCATGGTCTCAAACTCTAGGAAACAGCTCTTGCACACACACAAGTGTATTTCAGGTAGCCCACTTAAGGGTCTCCAAATCTTAACTGTTTTACAAAGAACAATCATAAAACTTCCTAAGACTGTCTTGATCTACTCATCACCTCCATGAAGTCTACAGGAGGTAAGTCCTCAATAAAATTTGTTGACTAAGGGAATGATTGGGTGTTTCTGGATAAATGAAAAACCTAATGAGGATAAATAGGGCAAAGTCCTAAGGAAAAACTCATTAGCAAATTATACTTTGCCTAAAGTTTAACCTTAGCATAATACAAACGCCGGGAAATAAATAGTACAACTACCCCTCGCTACAATTCCTCATTTTAAAAAAAGGAATTAGGCTAGATGCTCTGTAAGATATGTTTCTGCTCTAGAGTTTTCTGAAGTGAACTTGCTATGCTAATTTCAATGTGAATTTTTTTAATTAAATACCACTACAAATTTATTACAAGTAACCAGGACCCCACTTGAGTGTGTGCGTCAGCTATAAAATAATAGAAACATAAAATTAAAGTATTTCAACGGAGATTTCAAAAACAAATGCTTGTTCATTTTTTAAATTTTTCTATTCATGGTTTTAACGCATGAATTGAGACATGGAAAGCCTAACTGGCCCACCCAAGGTTACAACAATCCTACTTAAAAATTTTAAATGATATTTCTTACTAACTAAGGAGTACAAAAGACTAAATAATTATTATAATCATTGTTTACTGCAAACAATGTTTATAGATTCTCTAGTGCTCTCGCTCTTTGTGTGTGTATGTGCATGTGTGTTTGTCTCACCACTTTGAGCTGTATATGTTACATATTTTGCAAAAAGGCAAAGGAAAGTCACAAAAGGCATAAAAGAAGAAATCTTGGAGGACCATTAATTGAACATGTATATTCATGTAGAAATTATAGCTACAAACTTGTAGCCTCCTAATGTCACAGAAAATTTTTCATAGAGTAAAGGATTATATTCATAAACCCATAATAGTCCCTTTGGTGCCTTTTTTTTTTTTAAAGATTTTGTTTATTTATTTGACAGAGAGACAGCGAGAGAGGGAACACAAGCAGGGGGAGTGGGAGAGGGAGAAGCAGGCTTCCCGCGGAGCAGGGAGCCCGACGTGGGGCTCGATCCCAGGACCCTGGGATCATGAACTGAGCTGAAGGCAGACGCTTAACGACTGAGCCACCCAGGTGCCCCAACCCTTTGGTGACTTGATGAATGTTCTTGGTACCCAGATTAGAACAATTCTTTTGATTATGAATGTTGTTTCAAGGGCTATTTCACTACTTCATTAAGAAGAATTTCCAGATTTTACATGTGTGTGCTATGTGAAATATATTCATGGAAGCTGTTTTTCTGGAGATGATAGAAAGTCTAGGGAAGTATCTTGGAATGATTTACGTACATGCATTTCCAGAATCAGGGTGAGCTAATGATTGATGGGTTAAATGCTCATTAGTACTTTTTATCAGATCAATAATAATAAACTTGGTTTCTGAACAATTTGGAAAGTTACATTAAGAATTAATATCACACAATCTTTGCCCAGAATTCTCCTCTGTTTTGTTACTCAACTCTGTTTTGTTATTCTGCAGCAGCAGCAGAAGGAAAAAAAAAAATACAAAACAACTATGTCTCTGAAGCATGGGTTAGAGATTCTTAGAACATTCTCTGACTGAGGGCAAAATTGGTGTCACTGTTTAGGGCAGGTTCCAACTTTATAGACGGAGTTTAGTAATCCCACCTGTGGGTGTTGAATTTAAGGGACCAAGGATCATAGATAGTCACTGACTATTCTAACCAAATGTGTCTACATTCTCTCTCCTGAATGCATTATAAGCATTTCCTTCCCAACACCGCCTCTGCTTATTCTATTCTCCCCACCACTGCTCCCCTGTACCCCTTGAAATAAATGCCCCGCTCCTCAAAGTGTCCCCATCACACAGAAACTGATCAAGTTGCTCCTCTTCCACAAAATCCCTCTTTTCCTTTTAAAGGCTGAAATAGGCACAATATTTATTATCTGCATATTGCACAGAGTCATATATTTCATTGAAATGTTTTGTTTTTTTGCATGAGCATCTCGCCTGGCAATTTTCTGTGGTCAAAAAGCATGTAGGATTACTTCCCTCTATCACTCATAATGCTCATTATTGTGGATCGCTTGTACACAATGACTAATGGATATCTGTTAAATGAATTTATCAATGAAAGCCATAATTTATGTGTTACCCTACTTTTTAAACCATCAACCCATTCATTTGTGGTCCACAAAAAGTACTCAATAAATCTTTATTGATTAGTTAATTACTTCACTGTTGAGTCAGAAATTGTGGAATTAACAACAAAAGATTATGATTATACCCTAGTATTTGTTATTTTAAATGGATAACATTTAATAATATAAAGTGCCTAAAGCACTCTGTGTAATTCCACAGAAGCCCCACTATGAACACTACCCTTGTGATTAATTTCTAAAGAAGACAAACATTTTCTTCCTTCCTTCACGCCTGGTGAGGACATAAGGCATATGTTTTGTTCCTAGTCAGTCTTCCCTATCTCTAACACATAGCTGACAACAGTTCGTAAATTTGAGTTTGAATAGTGATAGCAATTAGGAAGAAGGCAAGGCTACCAAGTCCTTTGCATAAATATATTCTGGGTTTGGTCTGACCTTTCTGAAAACGTTGCATATGTATGCTGCATGTTTGCATGTGTTCTGTCTGGCATTACACTGAGCACGTGAAGTTAAATGTCCCTGGGCCTAGATCTCCAAGCCACCTTAATTTATGACATTATTTGGGATATAATCACAGTGAACAAATTTGTTCCATAGGAACTGTTTAAAAGATAGACATGTAAATTGTTTCGTAATTATTTGTGAAAACCTCTCTATTGATGCCATGTCTTTTTTTTTTTCCTCCTCCCCAAATGTTTTTTACTTGTATTTATTTAAATTTCAGACCAGAACTGTAGGGCAGATCACATAACAATTTATATCTCTATAATGAGAAAATATCTTAGTCTAATGTCTAATCAAATGTCTAATACTGGATGTTTAATTTTAAAAATTAAAGCTTTTGCTTTTAATATAAATGGCCAAGATGACACAAAAAGACACCAAATAGAACTTTAAAGCTGAGAGACTGATAAAATTACTGTTACTATGCATAGAATATTAGTCCTTTTACTAATTAACCCCATTAAACCACTCGCCCCCTACAAAATTTTATCTTTGGGAGAATAATCCTTTGGTGGCTGGAGTTCCACTTTTCTCCCTCTATCTTTCCACTACTTAAGCATGCTAGAAATTCTCTTTAATCATCTTCTTTTTAAGATTTCATTTATTTATTTGATAGAGAGGGAAGGAGAGAGAGAGAGAAGGCACAAGCAGGGGGAGGGCAGAGGGAAAGGCAGACTCCCTGCTGAGCAGGGAGCTTGACGCGGGGCTCGATCCCAGGACCCTGAGATCATGACCTGAGCGGATGGCAGACGCTTAACCGACTGCGCCCCCCGGGCGCCCCTTTTTAATCATCTTCTATACCAAACATCAGGCACAGTGCCTGACACACTGTAGACACTCAGTGATTGTTTGATCAGTGAATAAAGGAGAATCTTTTGGAGTTACACAAATGAACTAAAATCTTTTGAGGACGGGTGATAAAAAAGCGTTCGCATCAAAGGATAAAGTAGCCTTTCAAGTTGAATTTGTCTACGACTGAGAAAGTGGTCTGTGCTCACGTAAGCCTGCGAACTATAGCTGGTTGCAAACTCATGCAATAATTTGCGGTAATTAGGACAGTCTTATCCTCACATATCCTCATATTATCAACAATTAAGAAGAAAACTGATTCAAAGTACAAAGCTGAATTCAAACTGATTCAACTTTGTAAGAATTCTAAACGCAGACCAAGGTACTTACTTTCTTGTTTTTTTTCTTTTTTACTATTCCATAATAACATTTAGAAAATCAAAACAAAAGTACTTCGAATCCCTCAGAAGAAAAGTATTATTCTCATAAATTTTAACTAGTCACCTCATAGCCCAGTAATAAGCATTTTGTGCTTATTTATGGAGTAAAATATATTTCTATTATTTCATATATCCGAACAGGTGGTGTCTTTTCTCATTTTTAAAAGTGTGTACCTTCCAGCATTTTTCTCTCCACTCTGAATTTGTTGGTTTTCTTTTCCTACTGTAGTGCCAGTAAGTGCCAAAGACAGCCACATGGCTCAGTACTAAAACTGCTACAGCCCTTCCCCTGACAGTCCAGCCTCTGGACGCAGGAGTCCCCAACCCCTGAAGCTCAGAGGAACAGCTCATCTTTGGCCCTCTGGTCAAACTTGTTCTGGTGCCAACTACCAATTTCTCCATTAAATTCTAGTGCTGTGCCTGAATCCAGCCTCAATGTGGCATCATGCTTCTCTGCATATGCAAGTCTTGGCTGTAGTCTTGAACTCATGTCTGGAGTGAGTGATAGGGTACAACCCTGAGCTAGGTCCAAGGCCATGTCACCCTTCCCTAGCAGTTTGACTGCCTTGTCCCTCCCAATCCCGCCTTCAGATGACATCGTTGTTTTAGCCTACACAGTTGTCACCAGCCCTCGCCCGGACTACGTGCCCCAGAGATGACATGGCAGCAACAGAGAGCCACCTTGTGAGTGAGAACTGCTCAGTGGACCCAGGCAAACCCATATAGTTTGTAATTATCCTTTAGTGGAACATACAATGTTGCCAAAGTCAAATAGAAATTATATAACCAATACTGTTTTCGAAAACGGCATCATTCTTTTTCACTTTGTATCGCTTTCACATAAAAATTTCATACATCATCCTTGCATAGCAGCCATGCAAATCTTCCCCGCATCGTTCCAATGTTACTATATGTGCCGCCAAAGCAAGCGCTCACATACCAATTTTTAAAAATCAAAACAAAGAGAGGGCAGAAATTGAGCAATATTATTTTTTAGTAAGCTGCATGTTTTCTTGGGTAGGAGTCTAAGAGCAGTAAAAAGATGCTCTTGCTAAAAAGGGTGACTGATACAGATTCTCTAACTTTTTAGCTACAGACTGTTGAAACTATCTACCGACTCACTAACTCAAAATAACCTTATGAATTTCCTTCATTCCTATATGAACTATCATTTAAAAGTTAAAACTAAGCATTTTCTTCTTTTGGAATTAACACATTTCAGGGCATTTTATACACTGGGCTTGATCCTATCTTCAGAGAAGAGGAACCATATTCCGAGCTCTCAGTGGAACACAGAGAGGAACTTGCTAGCGTGTTCAGAAGATTTGGGAGAAACAAGCCGAGACGGTTTCACAGTGGTGCTAAGAAAAGCCTAGAGGAGCTTATTTCTCACCCGTCTCAAGAATCTGTTATCTGTTCAACAAAATACATAAATACGTAAATACAAATTAGAATGGATCGATAAATAAAACTTTCTAGAACCAGATAATCATCAACCACCAAGCTAAGCAGCCTCACATGACATCAAGCTATACTGGAAAAACTGAGGCCAAAATTTCAAGAGTCTAACGTGAATAAAATGGGATCCTAAGAATGAGGCTGGCAAGAAAGAGCTCAGAAGCTGGAGGCTACGGTGTACCTGGAAGGATTCAGCAGGTTCTTGAGCAGGTGTCCCCCCACACTCTGGTTTTGACCACCATGACTGGCAGTGGAGGACCCAGGCCACACCACCAGCTTGCCCACGCCGGCTTCTCTGTACACAAATTGGAGGTGCTTGAAAGAGGAGAGAGATGCTTTGGAGTCACTGAAATGAGTCAGCACATTAATGTTGATTCTACAGTTATTTGATTTAGAGCCAGCCTGGCTTGTGACCCCAGGTCGTCCAAACCCCACCGCTGCAGAGAGACCAGCTGAGCAGAGCCAGTGAAAACCTATTCCTCTGGCTCGCATTTATTTAGTTAACATGAATCAGTGGTCAATCCGAAACTAGCCTTCCCGTTCGTAAGCCTTCGAAAGGTTTTTGAAAACGGCTTGATAATGTGCCTCTAATGGCATCCTAAATTTTGCGGGGCTGTGTTGTTGTTAATAAAAGGTCTATTTTTCATTAATTTAAGTGAACAGAAAACAACTTGTGGCATTTAAAGGAAGTCAAATTTTACCTGCCAAACATTTCCTAATATACACTCCAGAGCAAAATAAATATGGAAATTTCGATGTCTTTTCAAAGCAGAAGATTCAAATATACTGTTCTTCTTGAGGGTAAATCTTTCACATTATTATCTTCCAGAATTTCAAATGTAACAGGAAAACATGAGATCAGTATCCTCAGCCACTTCCACAGGTTAGATTATTATTTTTTTAAAAGATCAGCACATCAGCTTTTTCCGGGCTTCCATATAGAGAGCATTTACTACAATGTCAACTACATGTGAAGTACTCAATAAACATGAATTCTTAGCTTTTCCTTGAAGGCTCGGGTAAGACGTTTTGATTTCCAGCTCAAGAGTTAGCCAACTATACACCGGACAGGAGAAATCACTGCACCTATAGCAACGGCTTGAGACTGAGCAGGTTAAGAAACATCTCTATATGAACACATTTTTAAAAAAATATGGAGTCAACCGAGACAATGAAGAGTGGGACAGGTAAAGTGGAAGACCACAGTGAGAGCCAAGGCGGGGGCGGGGGGCGCTTCTGGCATCTCTTTGGAACACAGTAGACCACAGCAACAGCCCTGATTTCTTCGGTGGACACGTGTGACTTTGGCCCTCTCCGGGAGACTGAGGTCACAGCACTTTGAGCAGGAACTGCAGATTTCAGGGGCACTTGGTATGTATTCATCAAGCTGAGAAGAAAATGACCTTTGCCCAGCTCCAGCCCTTTGCTCATGGTCTTCCCAGGGTCGGTGAAGAATGGAGGCAAGGTTATTAACCTCCAGTGTTTCAGACAGTAGAAGAAGAATCTGCAAATTGCAGTTCCCCGCCAATCCCGCTTTTCCATCCTCATACTCAATCAATGGGCTCCATGTTTCTTCCTCCAGAAGACACTGCCAAGTGAGAGGTCAGGTTGTTCAAAACTGCTACTGAAAGGCTCCCTCTTCTCTACCATGACATATTCTGGCATCTTGTCAGTTGGCTACCGAGTCTCAGTGTTCACTTTGTAAAATGAATTCATGTATAAGAAATTTGCTGATGGTTGCAGGCTCAGCACTCTTAATATTAGAAAATGACAAAATTGACTTATTGAATTTGTTTTTTTAATTGTCCTCCTTTACAGAAGAAAGCCCTCCATGCCTCCCATCCCCCTTGCTGCTACCACAAGGACTGCATTTGTCCTGACTGGCCCATTCGCATAAAGGGGTCATATCAGAGGCAAATGTAGGTGCGCATCTCATTTCATGGTTCCCTCGTGAGGGTACTACTTACTTCCAGATGTGTAAAGAGTTTGCCCCTGGATGAAATCAAACACCAAAGAAAGATGCCACTTGAAAAAAAGCATTTAGGACAAGAGAAAAGAAGGAGGGCAAGGCATCTGAGGTGGTATCTACAACAGTGCTGAATTTCACACGACCTTCATAAAAGATGAATCGCGGGTTTTACAACATTTTACCAAGGCATTATTTTCTAATAAACCTCCTTTTGTTTTGCATTCTTTTTGCTTATAATATGCAAAAAAGAAAAGCACAATGGCTGGAAATTCTGTCTCTGTGATCTGAAGGGCTCTCACTTGCATGCTGAGAAGTGTGATAATGAATATTTCTGGCATCAGCTGCTCATAGCAGCTTGGTACTAGCAGCACTTGATTCAAAATGTCATATGATACAATAATACACAAATTGAGCTCACAGAGGAGGAAAAAGAATCATGCAGCCTGTCATAGGTACAGCAATTTCTCATGAGCATCCAGGGAGAGAAATGTAGAAGTAGAAACCTGAAATCTGAAAAAAAAAAATAAACACTTAACATCCACAAACACAGGAAAAAAATTATTAACAAATGGAACATAGTAATTCTTGTGTACTCACAACACCAGTGGTTTCTTTAGTCAAAACCTGATAGCATTCAACTATGAATGATCTGGTACAGTGAAAGTGCTGGAGCCAATGAGAAAGCAAATCTACCTAATATGACCAAATGCACTTCCTATTTGTGTTTGAATAGTTGAACAGTTTACTGGTGCCAGATTGTCAATTTGTGTTAGCCACTCCTCTCTTTTTATTTCCACTCTTTTTCTAATTGTTCACACACCTCTTTCTTTTCCTTGAATCGATTAGTGACATCATCCCAACGTGCTTTTTTTTAAGATTTTTATTTATTTTTAAGATAGAGCAAGAGCAAGCGAGAGAACACGAGCAGGGGGACCGGCAGGCAGAGGGAGAAGCAGGCTCCCCACAGGGCAGAGAGCCCGATGTGGGACTCGATCCCAGGACCCTGGGATCATGACCTCAGCCGCAGGCAGACGTTTAACCGACTGAGCCACCCAGGCACCACCATCCCAACATATTTTTTGTTTCATATTTACAGTTTGACTGTCTTTGTCCAAGTCCTGGCTCCCCAAAACCAGCCAGGTGACCTCAGTCCAGCTATTTTTCCCTCTGTGCCTCAGTCCCTTGTCCTACTAAGGCTACGGTGAGGACTGATGCGTTGGGGTGGCGCTTAGGGCCGCATGTGGTACACGGTTCTGTGTTCCTGTTCCCATCTTGAAAGTGGAAATTTTTAAAATGGGAATACATATTAATTATCCAAAGTATTTTAATATATCTATTTGTCTTTGTTTCTCCCCCATTGGTCTATAGATTACTTCAGTTGAAGTAATTGGTTTGATTATTTTAAGTTGGCCCTCCAGAGAACTTCAAAACCAGGAAGAATCCTAAAAATCATGTAATCTAGCTTTCATTTTCTCCAGTACATTCCTAATCATCATGATTATTGTCATTAGGCTTTTGTGAAACAACTAGTGGTGCTTCTCAGGGACTCTGATGCCACTGAAGTGCATTTGTAATCTAAGCTCTGGGCATGGAGATGTCCTCAACAGTATCGATAAATTCACTCTCTCCTCTGTCCTGCCGATTCACTTTCTTTAATAGCAGAAATCTTCACCACACCCTGCACTGTGGTATAGGTAGTGATACAGGTGGGAAGGATTCTCATAGACTTTTCCTTGCCCCTATACAGGCGACCACTCTTTCTTTTCCTTTGGCTGTCCAGCCCTCTGTGGCTTTTAATCCATTTGCACAATTACCATGCCCCGGATCCTGAAAAAGACCTTTCTGAGGTTAGGGGCAAGGCAGCTATAATTGTCTCCTCATCGCCCCGCAGGAAACTGAGAATCGAAGGTTAGGATCTTGCCCAGGGTCGTAGTATTAGAAGTGCCAGAGAGACCTAGGAAACCCAGACTATAGGATTTCCCGTCCGAAGGTGTTTTCGCAGTGCCATGCCGCTTGTCCTCAGTGTGGTTTCACGCCACCACATCAGTGGAGGCAAACATCAAACATCCTAGCAATAGGCAGAGAACCAGACAACACAGAAGAATAATGCCTGACTGGGCAGCAAACTCTTCACTCGTTCAGCCGCTTAAAGTCAAGTTCACACTGAAGCTGTCTACATGATGCAGATATGGGGGAGACAGAAACATGCGTTCCATTTTCAGCCAAGACGGGGTTGAAAAATAAAGTCCTCTGGGGCTATAGAAGAGAAAGCATTAAAAGAATGGGCCTCGACCTTATTTTCCTATTGGCAATGTAGGTCTGAGTTTAAACTTCCAGGATCACTCTTTCTGTTCATTTTTGAGGGTTAGGAAACCATTATTGCTTAAGTAAGGTAAGTGAATTTGAATTCTAAAATGAAAAGTTTTCACATTCTCATCACAGAAATTTAAGTAAAAGGAAGTCTGTGTCACATCCTCATGATATCTCCAGGCCCACAAAGGCAAC